CGGGAGGAGCCTGGCAGGGGAATCGGCGCGGAGGGAGCGGAGCCATCGGCAGAAAACGGGCTGGGAACACCCGCGGCACCGGGGATCCATCCCGGGCTGCAAACCCACGGTACCGCTCCACCTGCTGCTTTCAGCACAGCCGGAATTTCTGTGAGCGGATTTCTGAAATCGGGGCTATCCGGGGCTGCTTTCCCTGGGCAGATGCTGCTGTGCCGCCCCGCGGAGCTGCTGGGCACCACCCGGGTGCTCCTCGCAGGTAAGGAAAGCCTGGTTGGGCTGGGATGGGCTGGGCTGTGTTCCTCACCCTTCCACAGCCCTTTGGAGAGAGCGTGGGGAGCTCTGGGCAGGGCGTTTTAGGTGGGTAAAATGTTTAACATGGAAGGCAAAGCTGTGTTTGCCCAAGGAGAGAGGTGATGGAAGAGCCACGCACAGCTCCGGGGATAAAGTCTGCTCTAGCCAGATTTATAGTGGGGCTGATAGATGTACTCACACAGAAATATCGGTATATATGTTAATGTCTGTGTTTGTGTTAAAAATAGATATGTAAAAATATGTGATGTTTTTAAAACCACTAATTTTATTTCTGTTAAAGTCGTGTGAGCATTTTCACTGTGCTCCTTTAAGTAGTCACTGGCTGCTTTGAAACACAAACCGTGGAGTAACAGGAGGGTTTGGGTTGAAAAGGACCTTGAAGTTCCTCCCATTCCATCCCCGGGTTGCTCCAAGCCCGTCCAGCCTGGCCTTGAACACTTCCAGGAACAGGGCAGCCACACCTGCTCTGGGTAACCTGTGCTAGATCCCAATGCACAAAGATTTTCTGGACATCTAAAATAGAAAGGAAGCCCATTACCCTACAGCTTGATTTTGGGATGATGTCAGTGAGCTCTCAATGTCTGTAGGATGAGTTTTGGCCATTGCAGCTGCAAAAGATGAAGTGTTTTCCTCTTTCCTTCAGCTCATTGTTCTGTTCTTTGTAAACAGTGTTTTCTCAGCAGAAAAAGGAAATTTTTCAGAGAATAAGAATTTTTAATCATTAAATTGTATTTTCTTCCTCCACATCTACAGTTTGGGGGGCAGGAGGGCATGAAAACAGCTGCCTTTCAAGGTTATAAGAGTGAGAAATGAAAATCACCTGAAGAACTTGACTTTATCTGGACTGTCACACTTCTTTTCCCTCCCACCTGCGCTGCACCATCCCCCGTGGGAGCAGCAGGAGTTTCCAGGGCAGTTTGCCTGGAAGGTGCAGGGGGAATGCAGGTGAACAGGTGCTTATCAGGGCAGGCTGAGCCTGGGCCGAGAGCAAACACAGCCTGTGAGGATCCCTGGCCTCTGCCCAGCTCTGCAGCCACAGGGGCTGGGGAGCCTCCCCTGCCTCTCCTCTCTCCTGGAATCATCTTCACTGGGGATGGGGTCTGGCAGCTGGGACCTGCCCACTGCAGCTCCCCCCTAAGTCCTTGAGCACCTGCCAGAGCCCAAGTTGTGACAAGCCCAGAAATTTTGGGCAGAAATCCTGCACTGTGGAGGGCACACGGACGCCTTCAGCCCCAAACAAGACCAGGAATTTTGTGGCTGTCCCATTCCTGGAAGTGTTCAAAGGCAGGCTGAACAGGGCTTGGAGCAGCCTGCTCTAGTGGAAGGTGTCCCTGCAGATGGCAGAGCTGGAATGAGACAGGCTTTGAGCTCCCTTCCAACCCAAACCTTTCCAGGGTTCTCTGAATTGGGAATGAGACATGGAAATTAAGTCAGTACAACAAAAACTTGGGTAGGAGAAGCTCGTTCCACTCCTCTGCCATGGGCAGAGACACTTTTCCCCAGAGCAGCCGTTCCCAGCCCCTCTCTTCCCTCCAGGGCTGCTGGTGTCGTTCCCTCCAGCTCTGGGAGCAGCGGGAGCCGTCCACAGAGCCACTGCTGTGGGATCCTCAGTGCTGCTCCCTGGGCCAGACAATGTCACCCACAGCAATTCCATGTGCTGGGAATTCCTCAATGGCACCGGCCCCCAGCCCATCCTGCAGCACCAGGGTGGGCCCCACGCCCCAGCCATCCACGCCCCCTATGCAGGACGAGCCGTTTTCCATCCATCCAATGGATCTCTGCTGCTGCAGGATGCCCAGGAAAGCGACAGTGGCACCTACAGAGTGACTGCCAACACAGGAGACAGGAAGAGCCTGGAAGTGCAGCTGGAAGTGCTCCGTGAGTGGAGGGTGTGGGAGGGAGGAGCAGGGTGATGGATCCAAGCAGGATCTCTCTGTTCATGGACCAAGAGCCAGGGCAAAGGGGTTGGAGAGGGATTTGAGCAAAGGGCCAGTCCTGACTTTGTTTGCACCTGTCATGTGTGGAGACAGCAGCAAGAGATCTTGCAAAGAGGTTCCCAAGCTGTCCTAGGGGAACAAATCTGGAAGTGCTGCCCAGTGAGACGTTCCAGGGGCCTGGCTGGGACAGAGGGACAACTTCCATCCTGGAAAGGCAATTCCATCCCCTGTTTCACACACTTCAATGCAGGGATGGAGAGACTGGTGGGAGGATAAAGGGATGGCAGAGTGACTGGTAGGATGATGGAGGGACCAGTAGGGTGATAGAGCTGATGCAGGGACAGGTGTGAAGATGGAGGAACTGGGGAGGTGGTGGAGGAAGCAGAGGGACAACAGAGGGACTGGTGGGTTGCTGTGGCTCTGCCACCTGCAGGGTCCCTCCCCCAGCACTTTGCCAGGGGACACCTGGCAGAGCCAATGGAGCTGAGGTTTCTGGAGAAGCCCCCACCCCTCAAGGCCAGGCTGTCCTGTTTGCCCTCTGCAGGCACCAGCTGCCACCACACAGAGAAGAGGCCTTGAAACGGCCACAAGTTCCTCCTCAGCACTGCTCCAGCAATTCCCTTCATTTGCCCTGGCTTATCTCACCAGTCACACCATGGCCATAATGCCACCACAGCCCTTCACCACCCACCTCTCCTTCCAACCACACACAATCTGAGTGGGATCTGCTGCCTTCTCTGCTATTTTCTCATTTCCTGATGCATTTCAAAGTGCTCTGTACTTACCCACATCCATTAAAGCAGCAGGACGGCCTTCCCAAGGGAAAGGCACCCGTGACCACGCTGTGGCTGATGCTGTGGTGGCAATTGCAGCCCAAGTGCCCGTCAGGGATGCTCCGGGTCACATTCACTGGCACAGATCCCCAGAGAAGCTGTGGTTGCCCCTGGATCCCTGGAAGTGTCCAAGGCTAGGTTGGACAGGGCTTGGAGCAGCCTGGGACAGTGGAAGGTGTTCCTGTTCATGGTAGGGGGCAGAATGGGATGAGCTTTAAGGTCCCTTCCCACCCAAACTATTTTGTGATTCCATGTCTGCGAGAAGTGCTGGGGTCTCTGTTCCCTTTCCAGAGCCTGTGTCCCGCCCTCAGCTCCGGACCAGCAGTCTCCTGGCTCGGGCCACTGGCCAGGTCATCTGTGAGGTGGCAGAGGGCAGAGTGGACACCATCGCCTGGAAGAAGGATGGGCAGCCCCTTCTCCCAGACAGAGTTTCCCAGCTGTCCAGCAGCTGCAGTGTCCTGTACCTGAGGCCAGCCAAGAAGTCGGACTGCGGCTCCTATTCCTGCAATGCCAGCAATGGGATCAGCTGGCAAGAAACCTCCCTGGAGGTCACCATTGAAGGTCTCACCACCCTCTGCTCCTCCTGCCCTCCACCCTTCCCTGGGGATGTCTCACAGGTTCCATCCAATCCCTCAGCCTCCATCCCCCGTGGTGTGGCCGCCCTCCCCAGGAGGTGGTGTCCACATGCTGCTGCCAGGAGCTGCCCATCCTGGGACGATCAGAGCAATTCCCAGCTCTGATCCCACCCAGGCAGAGTCCTTGCAGGAGATTGGTTGTTCCCTCTTGGGGCAGGTCCAAAACGATGGCCCTTGGCCAAGGGGATGCTGAGCAGGACATGGGCAGGAGGGTGGCCAGGAGGCCTGTGGGGAGCACCCACCCCAGGCTGGACATGGCATGGAGTGTATTTGGCCACCAGTTGGCAAATAAATGAAATCAATTAAATGAAATGGAGGCCCCTTGCAGCCACCAGAGCCAAGGGGCTGGTCCTGCTGATGTCCCATCTCCTGCCCCTCGGGGTTGCTCTTTTCCAGGTCTCTCCAGTCACTTGAAGCACATCCTGAGGATGGCAGTGATCGCTGTGGTCTTCGCTGCTGTCGCAGCGTGGGGATTAATTATTCCAGTCTGCCAGTCTGAAAGGCTCAGGATAAGTGAGCTGGGGGGAGTGGGACCCCATTTCCCTTGTCTGGTGGGGGAGAGCAAAAAGCATTGCCCTGGGAACCCCCAGATCCTGGGATATCCTACAGCATCTGGGTGGGGATGGGCTGCACCCCACCACGAGGAAGGGGTGATGGCTGACACGGGGTTCCCAGGGCTCACAGCAGTCACCCCCCTCTGCTCTGGGTTTTCAGGGGGGGAGCTCTGGAGGTGGCTCAGCTCCTACACCTGCGGGCTGGTGTGCATCGCCTGCATCCTGGATGGCACCGCTGGCATCCTCTGGATGTGGGAGGAAGGTCAGAGGGGGCTCTGGGGAGGTTTGGAGGGAGGGGGAACAAACCCCATGGGAGATGCAGAGTCCAGTGGGGCCCAGAGAGGAAGGCAGTGAGGCACAGGGGAGTCATGCCATGGAATGTGAGGGACAGACCTGTCCAGAGCAATACACGATCCGTGTGTGATCTCCACTTGTGATCTCCAGGTCTGGGGGAGCCTGGACCACCATGTGCATTACACAGCCCCCCTCCCCCAGGACAATTAATACAGTTGTTCCCCTTTTCCCAGAGCCCTTTCCCAGGATGAGTCCCAGCAGGACAGTAAAATGATCAGAGAATGGAGAGGCTGCAAGGAAAGTCTGGAAGTCAGAGGAGGGTGGGGAAGGGATGTAATGCCCAGGTGTTGAAGGGGGTGGGCAATGGAACATCGGGGTCTCTGCCTTGTCCCGTTGTCTTTCAGGCCCTTCTTTGGCTGTCATACTGCCCGAGATCACCCTGAGCTACCTCAGCGTGGTGAACTTCCTGGGTGCCACCGCCGTGATTTTCCAGCCTACACATTTCAGCCGTCTGAAGAGCAAAAAGGGTGAGCAGTCCCACCAATGATGGACCAAACTGGTCCACAGGGAGGTTATTCTGCCCAAAACATCACCCCTAGCATTTTAAAATGAGAACTCCAGTGCTGACTCAGGCTGGTGGATCCCTTGCCAGTGCCTGGTGAGGCCAGCCCTGCACCCACACCTGTGGGCACTGACCCACATCTCCTTTTGCCGTGCCCCTCTGCAGCACAGCGCACCATGGGCTACTCCGCACCAGGGGCCGTGGTGGCCGTGGTGCTGAGCAGCACCTTCCTCATCAGGAGCATCTACCACCGCCACGGTGAGCAGAGATCCCCCACGAACACAGCTCATGAAACCCCCACATCTCTTCAATTCAGCTGCTAGGCCTCCAAGAACAAACCCAACAAACCAGCAGAATCGGGGAAGTGAAATCTTGGCAGGAGCAAAATCCAGTTTCAACATCATCCACCTATTTTATTTTCTATTTTTTATGTGTTTGTGCTTTCATGGTGGCAACCTGCCTTCCTCCTTTCCCTGCCCCTGCTGTTCTGTCCGGCGGCAGAAGAAGGATGCACGGAGTTCGTGGACGTGACCATCCTGGTGAGCAGCGCAGTGGCCGTGTCGGTGCTCCCGCTCCTCGCCATTGTCCTCTGCTGTAAGTCTGCTCCTCCTTCCCCCTCCAGCCCCTCCCTACGCCCCGGGGTCCCCGCAGCACCCAGCAGCCGCAGGAATTGTTTAAAAGCGGGATATCTGGCTTTTGTGAAGCCCCCGTGTTTAATGGTTCTCACTGTTTCCCTCCCTGGGAAGCCCCAAGGACTGTACCCCAAATAAAACACCCCAGGGACTGCATCCCAAATAAAACACCCCAGGGACTGCATCCCAAATACACCACCCCAGGGACTGCATCCCAAATACAACATCCCAGGGACTGTATCCCAAATACAACATCCCAGGGACTACATCCCAAATACAACATCCCAGGGACTGCATCCCAAATAAAACACCCCAGGGACTGCATCCCAAATAAAACACCCCAGGGACTGTACCCCAAATAAAACACGCCAGGGACTGCATCCCAAATACAACATCCCAGGGACTGTATCCCAAATAAAACACCTCAGGGACTGTATCCCAAATACACCAGCCCAGGGACTGCATCCCAAATACAACACCCCATCCTTGGTGCCTCTCACACCTTCTCCTGCTCTGGCACAGATTTGTCTTTTGCACGTCACACGGTGCAGGGCTGTAGCAACGACTGTGATGTCTCTTGGATGGGCAAAACCAGGTAGGTCCTTTGTTCCTATTTTCCACATGAATTTGCACATCTTGAAGCAAAAGAAGCAGGATATGGAAACTATCCTGTGTTTTAGTTTAAGGCCCAGACCCCAAGAAAGATCCAGCCCAGCACTGCCCTCTAGCCCCTAGGTTCTTGCTGGGTTCAGGGGGAGGCTCTGGTGGAGTCCTCATCCAACAGAGCACTTGAGAGCCCACTCAAAACTCCCCTTTATGGCCTCAACCTGAAGTTTTTAAGCCTTCATTCCTCCTGGATTCACAGATTAACAGAATGGTTTAGGTGGAAAGGGAATTCTAAGATTACCTAGTGCCACCCCTGCCACGGCAGGGACACCTCCCACTGTCCCAGGCTGCTCCAGCCTGGCCTTGGGCACTGCCAGGGATCCAGGGGCAGCCACAGCTGCTCTGGGCACCTGTGCCAGGCCTGCCCACCCTGCCAGGGAACAATTTTGATGCTCAGCATGTCCCCCCCTCCTCTTCCTTCCAGGTCCTTCGAAATGTCTCAGCCAGGCACCAAGGACACCAATCCCAGCTGAGATCCATGTGGGTGTCTCTCACTTGGCCAAGCCAGCCCAAGCCCTCCCCCAGGTTTAGTCGGTTCAGGAGTCTCAGTTTTGGTTCCTCTGTCATCTTCATAATAAATGTCCACGAACGTAACCTGATTCTGCCTTTTTTAATAATAAATCAGATCCAGAGGGGGGCAAATGCACATTTCCCCCTTTCTTTCTGCAGAAAACCAAAGGCTGAAGTAAGGAAGCCCTTTTAGCAGCAGCTGCAGGAGTCTCTCACTGGTTTATCTTTTATTTAATGTTTACAACAATTTAGAGCTATTTGTGTAAGATATACCTGGGAGTAGCATGAAATACTTTTCTGGGAGTAACCCTGTTGTAACTTGAAATAGATTCTGGCTTTACCAGTAGTAAAGGCGGAGGAAGGACATGAAGGCACAAAAACCAGGGTGGGAGGAGGTGGATGCTGTCAACAGCTCTTCCTCAGGTCCATCCCAGGGTGTCTGACACACTCTGGGATTTATTTACTCCATAAATCGTACTCAGCCTGTGCCAGGGGCTGTTTGTGCCGGCTGTCACAGCTCACTGAGCTGTTTCCTGCAGCCCAAGGGAGCTTTTCCCAACCACAAACTGCTGCTGAGCAAAGCCCTGCACCCAAAGTCCCCAGATGAACCCCAAAAAGCGCCCCTGGGGCAGCCCTGACCCAGCTCCTTGGAAGGCAGCTCCTCCCCAGGCACTGCCAGGGCAGCTGCCAGGCTCCCGTGACTCAGGGAGCAGGGCCAGGTTAAAAATACCCTCACCCAGATTTGGAGCAGAGTTGTTGGGCTGTTCTTAACCCCAGCTGAGTCCCTCGGGCTGTCACTGCCACAGGAGGAGGGGATGGGGGTGCAGGAACCCCACAAGGGGAGTAAATGATGTCCTCAAGAGGAAGGGATCATGTCCCAGAGCCGGACACCAGGACAAATCCAGCATTCCCAGGTCTGCCACCAGCCACGTCCCACCAGGGGCTGATTCCTACCCCAAACATCACAGCAACACCCTCTGGGATAACACACACTCTTTATTAGCAGCAACAGACATCAACAAAACACAAAGTCTTCAAAACCATTCACAGACAAACTCCCCAAAACATTTAGAAAAGTATTTCTTGTAAAACATGTGGCTACCTTTTACACCCTCAAGTGCAACAGAAAACATGACAATCTGCCCTGCAGCTTCCAACAGGGCTGGAATCTCATTTATTCCACCCAAACTCCTCTGCTTCCTTTAATGGCTCCACAAAAGCCAAGGCTGAGATGGCCCCTTGCTAACAGCCCCTGAATCTCCCTGTGATCTCTCCCATAATTTTCCAGTTTGCCTTTGAGAGGCCCCCAGCCTGCTCCAGGGGTGCTGAGGACTGGCTCAGGGAGGGCCCTGGACCTGGGATTGCCCCCTCAGATTAAAAGGAGGTGCAAATGTCCCGGGGTGACCAACAGTGGGGTCCAGCACCTGGGAAAGCACCCAGGTCTCTCCAGGCTGGGGATGCCTGCTCTGCCTCCAGGCTCAGCTGAAGGAGCGACATCCCCTCCACAGCCAAGCCTAGGAGAGCCCTGCAGCGGCAGCACGGGGAGGGACAGGACAGCAGGGGACAGCAGGGGACAGGAGCAGGGCTCCCTGCATCTCACCAGGCCAAGGCCGATGTCACCTGCATGAGCAGCAAATGGGAAGGACAAGCTCCACCAGCACTGGTGCTGGGAAGAGGAGGGGATGTCCCCAGGGATATCCCCAGATCCTGCAGGGCTGGAAGAGATGGGCTCAGGAGCATCCCCACCTCAGGCAGCTGCAGGGATTTCCCTGGGATCTGCTGTCAGAAACTGAACTCCTTTGCTGCTCCCCCATTCCCTGCCAGCTCCCGCTGCCTCTGCTCCCTCCAGCTGCACACCCAGCACAGTCCTGCCCTTCCTCCTCCCTCCAAGGGTCACACGGAGCAGGATGCCCAGAGCCTCAGCCCCTGAGCCCCCTGGCAAAGCCCTGGCACAGCAGGGCACCGGGAGGGCCCGGGGAGGCAGGGCTGGCACTGTGGCACCTTCCAGCAGCCCCAGGACTGTGGATTTGCCCAGTTGGCTCTTTCCAGAGCCAAGAGCCCATCGAGGCCTCTGCAGGAAGCCAGGAGGGTGGAGGGAGGGAGCAAGTACATCCCTCTCCCCAGGGATGCACAACAGGAAGAGCAGGACAACATAGAAATAGTCCAAACCAGTGTTTTCCAATAAAACATTTGCAGGATCTGGCAGCTTGAACACTTCACAGGTGAGCCCAGGAGAGGCTGGGATGGGATGGGATGGGATACCTGGCACTCCCAGCAGTATCCATCACCAGGGTCACCAGGGAAGAGCAACAGCAGGGCTGGCCCAGCTCTACCTGCAAGGACAGAGGGCCCCACGTGAGCCATGTCCTGGGCACTTGGACCCCTCCAGGGCCTCAGCCAGCTCAGGGTCCCACACTGCCAGGGGCAGCACCAGGAGGTCTGGACTTCTGCCCTACTCCAGATTCCAGGAGCTACCCTGGCCAATTTATCTGTCTGGAGTTCCCTGGGTTCTGGCAGCACAAGACACCTGAGAGCTCCTTGTTTGTAACCCACCACCTCATGGGATGGGTTTTCCATCCTTATCCTCTCCATCCTTACCCTCACCCTCCAGGAAGTTCCAGTGAACAGCCTGAGTGTGTTTGTGGTCACAGAGGAGGAGTGATTTCTGAGAAAATCTAAAGGATCACTCACTTCCCAGAAACCTCTGGAGTATTCAAATCCCACCCATTACTCAGAGCTAAGGTAACCAGGAGTGTCAGGTTCTGGGTGGAGGAATCAGGAATATTTCCAGAGTGGGGATTAAACAGAGGAGACAGCAAACCCTTTGAGCCTCCAGGGTGGGAGAGCAGCCTCTTACTAGAGGAATAGCACCCTGAGCTCTCCTACTTCTCCAGCTCCATTGGACCCAGCCAAGGATAAGTTTGGGCTTGTAGACAGAAAATTTTGGCTGGAGCAAGGAGGCCACCTCAAGAGGGGGCTGGAGGCATCTTACCAACAGTTGTCACTGTGTTCCTTCTCCCTTCTCCAGCACCAGACAAAGACACCTGAGGACAAAGCAGCAGCATCAGAAAATCCCAGAACCGTTTGTGTTGGAGGAACCTTCAAAGCCCATCCAGTTCCTACCCGTGCCATGGGCAGGAAGAACTTCCACCAGCCCAGGCTGCTCAGAGCCCCACCACCACCATCATCAATGCAGGCCAACATGACCTCCTTGGACTGGGGACACTCTGCTGGAAACAGCAGCTGTGACAAAACCCAGCCCCTGCCCACGGGATGCCAGGGTGGGAAAGCCAGGTCCTGGCAGGGATGTGCCACATGGGACCCCTTCACCCACCTCTGGTGGCCGCAGCACCCACCAGCCAGAAATCGGGCAGAGCCACCTCAGCACCCACCTGCGATCAAGCCGATGACGACACAGGTCATGACCACAGGCAGCACCACGTGTGTAGAGTCTGCAAAGGGGACAACACAGAGCCTCTGCACCAGAGCAAATTTAACCCACTCACAGCCTCCCAGCAAACCTGCCTGCTCAGCACAGGCAGGGAGACAGAATCCCTTTTCTGCGGCTGTCCCCCTGTTTTTTCCCGGGCAGGGGAAGGAATGCACTCACGGTGGACCTTGAGCAGGAAGGAGGTCTCGTTCTGGCTCACGGCGTTGCTCACCACGCAGGTGTAGTAGCCGCTGTCGCTGATGGACACCCGCAGGATGACGAGCGTGGTGTTCTCCACAAACTGGATGCGCTCACTTTCCACGAGCGGTTGCCCATTTTTCTTCCACCAGTAGGCGTCTGCCGTCCCGTGCACCACGCGGCAAACCAGTTTGGTGTTGCCTCCTGCCTTCACCAAGGAGTTGCCCACAATTTGTGGCGGGGACAGCGGCTCTGGGAGAGGCAGAGGCAGCGTCAGCGCTCAAAGCCGTGGCAATCCCGGCTCCCGGGCC